CCCAAGAATAACGCATAACACACTACTAAGTACACTTACGTTTAAAACAACATACTAAATGAAAAACACGGCGCGGTTTACACTGAGAAAAAACAATTAGAACCGAAGAATAATACAACACTCCAGAACCGCCCATCGTCAAATTTATTTAAACCCCCCTAAAAAAACATACACAGCAAACCACTGAACACTGACCTAATGTCACGTACACATAAGAACCTAATGCACATACACCCCTACTCGTACATCAATACGACCACCCGCAAGTACAAACCCCTATTGAAGATAATACCACCCAGCCGATGGCGCTACATAAGGCAAACATTTCTTTCAAGAAAAACTAAGGGACATGAAAAATAATAGAAACCCGAACACATGCATAGACACGAAAATGAAGAAAAGGAAACAGATGTGACAACAAAAAATGAAATGGTTAAGCAACACCCCGCAAAGAAAGACACACAAAAATACAAAAACTCATGTAGCATCCCCATGAAGATCGGCATATGAGAACCACGACAAAAAAAACTCGACAAAAGAAATATGCCACGTTTTTTAAACAACTAATTAGACTGCAACCCATCCAAAATACTGACCATCCCCAAGCTCTGAAGTTGATCAACGTGAAAGAAGAAGACAATAACATTACGAGGGAACTACAAAGCAAAGCAAATATGCCACTAAAATTCAAAACTACAATCACCCCACCTACTGCCAGACCCAATAAATTGTACTACAACCGATCACACACAAGCATAACCCGTACACCTACACAAACCCCTAAGCCTACCAAATCCACCCTGTTTTACCAAACCAGAACGAATATCACCTTTCGGCGACCTAATTAATTTAATTAAAATAATTAGAAAAAACTCCCCAATAACATTTAACCTATCTTATACACACAAACGCGACCATACCCATTACAAACCTCGCATCACAAGGTATAATGAAGCCTGCCTGCATTACTATCTACAGCAGCATGCCTATGACTACAACGGCGCTACGGAGCATTCCAACTCATACTTGCTACGCATGCGAAGAACCTCCTCATTCCACCATCTTCTCCCACATGCCTCTCCTCATCCCCCTCATACTATGCAACTAGGCGAGCTAACCGTCTGTCTGCGGCTCGCAAGGCACCTTCTTGGGCCGGCCAATTTGTGCTTCGACCAGCGGAGCTCTTGATGCGTCGCTGCGCCGAAGCTCGACAACTATGGCAGCTACGACAACGACTGACTATGCCGCTTCTCCAGACATGACTCCTCAGGTACGGATCCTCTGTACCCTTACCTCTAATCGCCCATGTTGTGTATTCCCACGACCCCCCTGACTACAACTCCCCACCACCCGTTGTGCTAATTGGAGCCTTACTAACGACTAATCCCTCTGAAGAGCTGCTATGGGTGCTAAGTGGCGAAAAGCGCGCTTCAGGGCGTGCACCCCCCCTGTGGTTGGGCTTTGCCCTTTCCTAATTTTTAACACTTTAACATTAACAACCTAATCATAGCTCCTGCAATAACCTAGATCGCCACCTTCAAACTCTGTCCAACTTTGCAACATACGTCCTCCATAGCTGAATTGCTATCTAATACCCTACTAATGGACGATCTTCAGTTGAGTCTTGTTTCCCACATTCTGTGGGATAGTTGTGTTACGTACACAAACCCCCCCGCACACACACACACACACACTCACACACACACACACACACACACACACACAATCAATCAATCAATCAATCAATCAATCATTGACAATCACTGACAATCATTCAATCAATCAATCAATCAAACCCTTTTTTTTTTTTTTCAATTTTTGCATCTTCGTTTTTTTTAAACACCTAATTTACATGCAAAAAACCAAAATTCATTTCTTAAAAAAATACAGCACAACTCAGGGACTATATCCCTTATGATAAAAAATGACAAAAAAAATTCCTGTTTTTTTAATTATTATTTTTAAATATTTTGTTTAAATCGATTTTCGTTTTTCATTTTTAAAAAATCTTAAACGAAGTCCGATCCCAAAATAAATAGCATAGGATTGTAGGGTTTCCTAAGCCCTACACCCTTTTTATTTTTAACGTATTTTTAGGGGTAAAAGAAAATTATTCAAAAAACAGGCCGCGGACTGCGCCTCATGGGCCGCGGCCACAACCGACTTTTTTGGCCGCAGCGGCCGAAATACCCGCGGCCTAGGCCGCGGGTGTCACATAGGTTAGGACTCTAGGGACTCTTAGCAACCCATCCTAGGCGGTTTTGAAGCGATTATACTCAGTGATCTGCGGCTGTTCGATGCCAGAACGACGCTGGTTGGTGCCGGGGTGTTGCCCTGTAACCTGCTGATGCAGGAGCGTGAGGCCTGGTAGAGAGATCTGGGGATGCTTTGGGGTGGGCATCCCAAGGGACAGCTAAGGTTTGCTGTTGGGACGGCGCTGGTCGGAGCTGGGGCGAGTTGTGTTGCCCTGTAACCCAGCAGGGTGGGGGCGTGAGGCCTGGAAGAGCTCAGCAGGGAGTAAGACTGTGTTCGGAAGTCTTAGAAGGGCTTGTTAGGGATCCTAAGGGTTGTGAGCATTTGTAGGACCTCTGTGGCAGCCTATGAGTAGTTCTTTAATAGGTCATTAGATATTCACAGACTGATCTCAGCCGAAGCCGGGTAATGGGCCCGGTATCTTAAATGATCTCAAATGTTCTCAATGATCTGTACAATTCAATATGGGACGCTGGGCCCGGTTCCCAGCACGTGCTGCTCCCCACGAATTGGAGCACTGTCTCGTAATCGATGGTTGCAGGAGAGATTTTGAGCCTGTCTCTTATACACATCTAGATGTGTATAAGAGACAGGGGTTAACATTTCTTAGGTAGTGGCTCTTACTTTTCTGTGCTGGTTTTCGTTTAATTGTACAATACAATAGCCTAAGGATAGGAATGCAGTCTGCCTCATTTGCTGCGGGGAAGTTAGTATCTTTAAGTTAGCGTTATAATTTGATTGCAGGATTAGTTGAAGTATTTGGACAGTCAATCCAATTTTGTACAGGGAAGACGGACCCAGTTTCCAATAGGTGCTGCTCCCCACCAATAGACGATCCTTCACTAGCAGGGCCCTTATTAGAGACGATGCTCGTATCACCTCTCTAAGCAGAGCTCCCTGTGCACGAAGTTAACAAAAAAGAACAAAAAGAAAAGAAGGATTAGTTGTAGGACCAATTGGGGATGAATACGAGTAGGGGGTTGGAGGGAAGAGGGAGGATGGTTCTTTTGATTGTCACCGGCTCGTAAAACATAATCAAAGCTTGACTGTCACTTTTGGGTGGACTACTTCTATTCTTCTTCTTCGAATTATAAGGTCGGCTCGTCAAAGGAAGATGAAGAGTTGAAGTCTGCTCTTAACCATGATGGGATTCGGTGAAGTTGTTTGCCTACTGTTTTTATCTTCCAAGCTGTGTGCTGGAGGAGGTCGGCTCGTTGGAAGATGATGAAGAGTATGGGGGTTGGAGGATGGTTTCTTAATTTTCGCAGCATGTTCAGAAAAAGAGGTTTTGTCACGAGTAGTTAGTTTTAACAGGCTGGCAGTGTACGCAGGTTTTCTAAAATTTCTTGGTTTGTTCTCAGATTTTCTCAGGTGAAACCGGGTATCTGTCCCGGTATTCCAGTGCTTGTAATTTCATATGGGACGCTGGGCCCGGTTCCCAGCATGTGCTGCTCCCCACGAATAGGTTGGAGCTTTTGTCCCCCAAAAAAAAAAAAAGAAAAAAAGAGAGAAGAAAAAGAAGATAGGAAATCTGTTGACATTTTGTTACTAGGCCATTCTTCCTTCAGTGTTTCATTGGCTGCGGTCAGCGATGGGCTCGGTCGGGAGTGCCCGACCCTTTTTGAGTCATCAATTGAATGGACCTCTTTTTTGAAAAAGAAGAAATTATAGTTACTTCCATTGAAAGGATTCACGCTACAGACACCTAGTCCTTGTCTCAAGGTCCTAACAAGTTCCAAGTCCCAGGGCCGTTCTGTAGGATAGGTCTTAGGGCTCAGAGGTAGAAGGGTCGTAGGTCTGTAGTTGCTGGTACGGAGGCGTCCTAGGCCGGTAGGCGTTTGCCCGGTACTAGACAAGAAAAGTCCAGAAGCGTCCAGTTCCGTATGACAGTCCCAAGTCCAATTTTGCAGCATGTCCCAGGAAAGTCCAGAAGGTACCGGACCGACAAAAGTTTTGCATCAGACAGGCCACGGCCGATCGGTACCGGTCTGAAACAAGCCAAGCCAAGCGAGCCCAAGGGCCTCGTTCGACACTCCTCAGGCTGTCCTCGGGGCCCAAGGAAATTCTCCCATCGTCGCCCGAGGAAATTCGCGCCGTCGTTCCACTCATCCTCGGAATTGTTCCCCGAGGATGATTCCTCGGGGCCTTCCGCGACCAGTTTCATACATCAACAAGCGGACGCGGGGGGGGGGGGCGAGGTTGGTCAAGGTGTAACTGTGCCGACGTCGTTGGTCCAGCTTGGGTGGGTGTCGCGAATTCGAAAGTTGGCGGCAAAAAAAAAAAATGGCCACGAAGAAGGCGCGCAGTCCCGGATTCGAAATTCGAAATTCGAATTCCCGCAAGCGAGTGATGGCGGCGTGGGCATCCCTTGCGGCTGACGGCAGCAACGTTCCTCGCCGGAAGCGTTTGGGTACGGGGTGGCGGCTGCGTGTCAGCGGGCACGCCGAAGGTACATGTACACATCCGAAGCAGTAGACACGTCGTCACACGATCGCCATCGTTGTCGTCTTCGCAGGCGCACCTCCGTCGTCGATGTGTACGTCGTGCACTCCGGTCGTCACTCGCAGCATCGCTGTTGTGCACCCCGGCACATGTGGAGTCTTCTGTACTTGGCGACGCCCACATCAACAGTGCCAGTTTTGGCAATGGACATGAGCAGGGAGGCGGGCCGTGACACACTGAGCAAAGCGGAGAGGACGGCGGTGGCAGCGGCCGTGAACGCCATCCTGTTCCGGTGTCAATTGCAGAGGACCGACGGGACGATGAGAGCAGCCATTCGCGCACGGCGGAAGAGGACGCTGCAGTCCATGAATGTGGACGTAGAGGACACTGGTGCCATTTGCGACGCCATGCTGTAGGTGTGCTACGCCATGGGGTGTGGAGCATTGCCCAGAGCGATGCCCAGGTGGTGGATGAAGTGATGGACAGGGGGGACATGGGAGGATCTGCAGCAAGGCGACGACGCGATGGTCGACTACTTCAAGGAGAAGCTGCGCATGTCGCCACGTGTGTTCCGAGAGATCATGGAAGCTTTGTCTCGCTTCCTTCAACGACGTGTCACTTTCTATAGGGAGCCCCTCCATCCTGACCACATTGTCGCGTGCACTTTGTACAGGTGGGCATCGGGGGAGACGTACGAGAGCGGGACATGCAGCTTCGACATTGACAGATCTTCAGGGTTGCGCGCTGTGCGGAATGTAACTGCGGCATTGCTGAGTGCATACCCTGACAGGATATCGTGGCTGACGGCCCGACGGGGCTGCAAAAGGCAGTCGTCTTGCGCGCTTTCGCTGACAAGGGTTTCCCTAACTGCCATGGGTGAATCGACTGCACCCACATCTTCATCGACAAGCCAGCGAATTGCTCCGGGGAGGAATACTACGATAGAAAACGTCGTTTCTCCGTCCAGGTGCAGGTCGTCGTCGATCTGAACTTGTGCGTGCTGGATGTGTTTGTCGGATATCCGGGAAGTTGCCACGATGTGAGGATCGTCCACCTCTCGAGTTTATGGGCGCGCGCGGAGGCAGGGGAGCTTTTCACTAGGCCACCTGTCGTGCTACCCTTTCGGTGTGCAGACAAACGGGTATCTGCTGGCCGACAACGGTTATACCCCCTCCAAATGGGTAGTCGCCCCTATGGCGGTCTCTCACATTACCCGTCGGAGTTGCGCTTCGACAACAAACAGAAGACGGCGAGGGGAGCAGTTGAGGCAACTTGAGAGGGCTTTCGACAGACTGAAGGGGATGTGGAGGTTGTTCCTTCGCTCCCATAAGACGAACATGGAGACGTTGCCGCAGCAGTTCGTCGCCGTCTGCATTCTTCACAACTTACTCATCGACGCCACTGGGGTTAATGGAAGGCCAAAAATTCGGGGTTTTTTGCCGCGTCGCTACAAGCAATGTTTTCGAAACTTTTGCAAACAAACTATGCAGGGTCATAATACAAACATAAAAAAAACAATCAGGCAAAAAAAAAACGAAAAAAATAAACCGAAGAGCACTATAAATCCCTATTCGGAGTAGCTTTCGCTCGCCAAAGCTTTTTTTCGAGTCTGGTGTTTTTGCTAAGTTTTTCGTTACTGCTTCAAATACGGCGAAATTGAATACAGATATACCCTAAAGCACGTATATAACGGGCAAAAAAAAAAATTGAGAAAAAAGTAAAAATTCAGGGGGAAAATATGACAGTTTCGGTGAAAAATTCCCCTTCGACAACAATCTACTGTGGGAGGTCGGGCTGGACGGTGTGCGTCACAGGGTGGACCTTGGTGTGCATCACAGGGTGGACCTTGGGATGCAGCGGCCGTTGAGGCCGATGTGTATGGAGTCGTCAGCGGGGGATGCGCTCATTTTGCGGGACGCACAGGCGGAGCGAATGGGTGCGTAGTGAACACGGGCAGGCGCGCGGAGCGAGCGACTGCGATGACGTGGTTGCGGTGAGATATAGGAGCACACGACGTAGGGAGCAGGCGAGAAACAAGAGCGGACGACGCGGGAGTCGTCATGTCCTTGACGGGGTGGTCGTATGCGTTGTCGTCATTGTGTGTGTCGCCCCGTTTTGTGGAAGTGGGGATTTCATGGAGCGGTGGCTGTTTCGCCGTGGGTTGGGTTGCATGAGGCGGCATGTGTCGGCAGTTTTGTTTGCTGTTCTTTCGTACTGCGCGCCAATGAGGACGGTGTTGGCGGCTCGGGTTGTTGGCGACGTCGCAGTCCAACACGTCATCGGCTGGGGTGACGTCAAGCACGTGCACGTGCCGATCGTAGTTCTCGTGTAGTATGCTGTCACCGTGGGTGACGTGTTTGGGTGTCGGAGTCGATTCCGCGAGTGCGTGTAATGTTTTCCAGATGTTGGGATTGAAGTTGCCATGAAGTCATTTTTTTTTGCAAAGTGTGTCGTCTTTTGCTTTTACTACGAGTGACAACAATGTAACGACGTATCATGTCAATTATGTATGTTGCGTGGCTTGTCTTCTTATTTGATGACGAATGAAAAGAAACAATTGCATGGCGTTATGTCTGTCATTTCTTCTCACATTTGCAATGCCGTGTATGAACATCGCTCACTTTGTCATCATCCATCAGTTCAAGCAAGCATCCCTGACCCCTTTCCATCCCCCTTACCATAACATTCATGAATGCGAATGAAAGCGGAATAAAATGGAAACGACAACAAGTTGTAGACATCATCAATATCAATCAACACAATAAGATGTTTGCTTTAGGAGATGCGAACATCGACTTGCCATGTTCCATAAAAAAAAAAAAAAACGAAAGGTTCATGAAACACCCCTACGACAACCGATCCGCCACAGTGATGATCACCATCACGGGAACGTCCACTCCCATGACCGATCACCAAACYCAMCCCCMCCCCCMCCCCCCSCCCCCCCCCCCMCCCCCMCCCCCCTCTCTAACGTATACCCCAAGCATGTTTGAAACGAACCCAAACACCCCCCCCCCCCCCTCTTCCATCTACCCAGTCTTCCATCTCTCCCCTCTACACCACCAAGGACTCATTGGCGAGAACCTGCCTTCCCGCCACTGCCACGACCATCCCACGTGTTGGTGAGCACACGACGCCGGCTACGAAATCGGAGTGCTACCTACAGACAGCACAGCAACATGAAAGACACATGGCCGCAATAGGCGAACGGAATTGGAAAGCCCCCCCATGCCGTACAAAACCCCATGACATATGTACACCCCGGCATGAAGATGGGTGAGCCGTCTTCAACCAAGTGACGGCAGAGCAGCATCACGCAACAACCATCACTTGTCATCGTGGGGATGGGGGGTGACAATGACCGTTCGCGAGGCAGCCGACGACCTCCTGCTACACAGCCCGAACGACAGATTCATGCCGCCATCGCCTTCGTCGCCACTGAGCCCCTGCTGGAGGAGTTCGGTGTAGGAGTGGCCATAACCACCGTCGCGGCTTTCACACAGCTCTGTAGCCGCCCACTCCTAGGTGGACCCGCTTCCCAGCGGCACGGTCCGTGACCGTTTGTCATCCGCCTCCTCGTCGGATGTGTCCGGCAGAGGTTGTAAGTGTGGTGGCAGGTGCGCATACCCAGACCTCTCCGTCGGCCTTGAACTCCTCGACGGGCTTTGCCCACCCCGCTGCCCACCACCCTGCTCCCCTGCTGACCTGCAGATCGCCTGGCGCCCCTCCAACCTGACGTCCTTCTTCAAAGACCGTCTTCTGCGGGCACGTCGCGGAACGCTGCCAAGGATGCACACGTGGAAGACAACTAAGAGGAGGAGCAAGAGGACGACCAGCACCAGCAGCGGCAGCCTCCGAAAGACGCCGGCCATGAAAGGCACGTGGACGACGACAGCAGCTAGAAAACAAGGGTGGACGTCCAGGAAACGGCGAGGGACAGTGGTGCAAACGGCCGATCGCAGCTATCGACAAAAGCAGGGTAACATATTCCATCGCGGAAGACACTGTGCAATGGGGACAGCGGGGGCCGGCTGAAGTATTCAAATCTGCCGACCGTTGGGCGCCTTCCCGCTCGGGGCCAAGGGCAGCGATGCAAGGCAGCCCTTTTCGACGTCGCGGAGGCCGGCAGGCTGCCAAAGGGGACCGTTGGCGGACAATTCCATGACGCCGACCGTTGCCGACCGAAGATGTCCGTCCACAGGCCGCCAGGAACAGCAATGGACCAGCCGCGTCGAAAATTGTCGTCGACAGAGCTGCCGTAGACGCCCCGATTCTTCCGGATGCTCGACCTCCAACGGACCTCGGGAGGTCCCTTGGGGAACACATCGAAATGGCTGTAGCCCGAGGAATCCCTGAGGAAATGTTTTCACATTTTTTTTTCAATTTCTTCCCCGAGGATAAGTGGAACGATGATTTCCTCGGGGGATTTACGTGCCCGAGGAGTGTCGAATGAGCCCCCAAGTCCTATATCTAGCTGCTACAGTGCAGCAACTTGTCACTTGTTCAGTTGCGAGATGCGTAAGCGCTGCTGCTGCTGCTTGTGCGTTAGGGCAACTTGGGCACTGTGCGCCTGAAGAAGAAGAGGGCACCTAAGAGATACTCCATAACTAGGTTAGACGTAGGGCAGGAGGACGGCGGCCATAGCCGCCAAGGTGTAAGCTACCTGAGTGGGTGTATCCAGGGTATTAGGGTAACGATCTAGGGGAGAGAAGAGAGAGAGAGAGAGAGAGAGAGAGAGAGAGAGAGAGAGAGAGAGAGAGAGAGAGAGAAGGGAGAAGCCATAGCCGCTATCTGGTTGAGACCCGTTATGTGTGTGTGTGTGTGTGTGTGGCAGAGCCGCTGAGGACAAACATCTTTAAGTTTGTATATTGATAATAATATTGCAGACGAAGCAGCAATTACTAGGTAAAATTGCAAGTATGGCTTAAGAACGAGAGCATACGCCAAATTCAGAAAACAGTGCTTGACTCATTTCACCATATGGTAGATTCTCCATACATCTTCTTGCATATCATTGGATATGTCATTTGTGTCAAGTCATTCTTTTTCTTGTTTTTTCTTTCTTCTTTTTGAAGTGGGGAGCTACACCTGCTGTTCAAGTCATTCTCACAATGTCATTCCATCTATCAGCCATTTCGTTAAACGACCTGCACACAACATAAATCGACCGTAGGCCCCTTTTGGAGGCCGAAACACGTTGCCAGCCGCTGATGACGTTATTTTATCGACGGCGTGCCAGGCCCGAACTTTTCGGTCGAGGCGACGAGTTTCTTTCAACAAGGCTGCAGCTGTGGACATTTTATATTCGTCCCATGAACTTGAACGCTACTTAACATGTGGCACATAGAATTCCACCTTCTGAAAACGCCCGACCCCCTTGGGTGTATCTCGACTTCAGCGGAGTCCGGATGAACCCTCAGGAGCTAAAACAGTGCCATATTTAGGGCCAAACAAGTAGGTTTCAGTTTTGTTCACAAAATATAAAAACGTAGGTTTGCACGAAATGGCTGTTATCTGCCTGATATACTGCACTAACAGGCACTAACAGTCGTTTTACCAGTCTTGGAGAAGATGGATAGGGCTAAAGCAGGGTCCAGCTGCACCACCTTAGTATCTTAAATCCATAAGGCTGAAGCAAGGTCCAGCTGCATCGCCTTGCTAGAGTCTTCGATCCCTAAGGCCGAAGCAAGGTCCACCTGCATCGCCCGAGGGCGAAACCCAATCGTTTCTCCGCACACCATATTATGATGAATCAAGTAGGTATCCCATAAGCAGACATCACCCAAAGATATTAAGAGAGCAGTGTGATGGAACCCAAACATTCGGTAAATGAATAGCACACAGCGAGAAGAAGCGCAAAAGCAAGAGAGAAAAGTCATAGAATCTGATGTCAAAGCAAAAGGAGGGGAAAATGAGAGAATAGGGAGAAAGAAGTGATAGACAAAGTCACAAAGGAGAAGGAGAAGGTGGACAAATCAAACTCCGGTAGCTCAAAATCAGGAAACTTCATAACAGAATGAGTGACGCAACACGTTTCCAGCGGCTGTTGTCCCAATGTAGTACTGTCCTATTAACGAGTTTCAAGCAGTGCCTGGATAAGACAAGGTACTTGTCATTAGGACATTCTTCCAAGGTATCAACTACTGATGGCTTGTCTACATACATGACACTCCAAACCACATGACACTCCAACTGCGGAATGTAATGTCCCGACAGTAGTTCTCAACTTTCCAAGGCTTGGAGAAGATTTGTCATGGGGACTGTCACCAAAGCCCGTCTATTTTGGCTCCTTCCTGTCTGCTGATTCACGTAGGTAGGCACTAGTTCAAACACTGTCCCATTGGACCTGAATGATCGACAGGTTCTACCAAATGCTCTCATCCTGAAATGGGATTCCAACTCTCAGTCTGAGATTGGACGAGAATGCAGATTGCGCTTCAAAGATAGCTTGTGATTAGGATATCCTTAGATTCCTTAAATCTGTCTACGACTGATGGCTTTTACGTCAAGTTAAACTTGACTCGCCAACTGGCCCTATGCACTGTACTAACAGTGGTTTCCCAGTCTGGGATAAGATCATTATCAAGGAGGATCATAGTCACGGTAAACGTAACGCGCGTTTTTTTTACGGTGCCTGTCATGAGGATATTCTTACAAATGGTCAACGATTTAATGGCTTGTCCATCAAAATGAGCAGCACAGTGACATAAAGTCAGTGCCTTAGCAAATTGTGAAGTACTCATCATCCTATTCGTCAGTGGTCTCATCATCTCATTAGGATCCATGGACAAAAGCCATCACCACACAGCATAGACTAGGTCTGTTTTTTTTCTTTTTTTTGGTGCCTAATGTTGATTCCGCCAGGGGTTTTAAGAGCATCCCCCGGTAGCATCCAACCAGGCGAGATCTCACCTCCCGTAGACAACAGATATGATCATATGATTCATATCATTGCAACACTATGGCTTGTCACACCAATCCTTCCAGATTCTCTAATCCTTACACCACCCTAACTACAGGGCCAGTTCATGCACAAGCCTAGTACAAGTTTTTTTTGTGTTTTTTGTTTTTTTCACATCGTAACTGTTGCCAACTTGCCAACTGACAGCCTTAAGCAAAGTTAACTGCAGTTTCCAAGGAGGTTTGAACCCATCCACTGCGGGCCTTCGGCATCACGGTGGATCCACATCCATTTCAGTAACGCTAATTGCAGTAGAGAGCAGGTTAGGATTACTTTCAGCACCACTTAATTTTCAGTGAACCAACTGCAGTGGACAGTAGTTAACGTACGCCAAGACTGCAAAAAACTTAACTGCAGTAGGCTGCAGTTAGCGTCCTGGAGATTGCAAAGTCTTCAGGAGCACTTAGTCTTCAAGTTGGCCTGGTTCATCATTCTTGACTCAATCATCAGTGCCCTTTCTTTTCCCCCTTTAAGTCATGATCCCACCCCCTCCCAACTTCAACATTCTCCCTATCACAGCCCCTACTCCCTCATCTTTAGGAACACTGAGGAACCCTATATGCATCAACGTATGTGTTCTATTTTGATATACCCCTCATACACCATCAGGGTATCACCCCACCCATTCCCCCCCCAGGACCGGATTCCCCCCAGGTTGGAAGCCAGCATTACCCCCGATGTAATGGCAAGGGGTACTAAGGCCACCATATCACTGAACCCCAGATGTAATGGCTAGGGGTGAACTTAACCCCAGATCAAACAGCTATGAGCTGCCAATGCCTGCCATCACAGTGTCACCCCATATGTAATGGCTATGGGTAAAGCCGCCGTAGCTCCAGATGTAAATGGTCAGTGACAAAGCCGGCATAAACCCGGATGTAACGACTAGGGGCAATTTGGGCAAAGCCGTTAGATCCCCAATCCATCCACTGTCCTAGAGTGGGGACACGTGTGTGGGTGACTGGGGTATCATTCTGTAAGACCAACCTGTGTCCCATGAGTTCTCTAATATCCATTGCAGTCGCAAGTTTTTCCATACCCACAGTTCACTTCAGCGCAGCATTTGACGTTGAGGCACTTTCCACCACAGCACTTCTCGCCCGCCTTGCAGTCCTTATCGCTGTAGCACTTGTCCTCCAC